AAAAATCCAGCTCTGGACCCCCCAAACCTCACCCCCACACCCTAAGCACGAAATTCCCTGTTTTCTCCCCATCCGAGCCGTGGGCTGGTCCCGCTCCATGATGGCTCCTGGGGGGCTCGTGGGGGGCACCCTCGGCTCCAGGTCCCCCCCAAAGCCCGGGCTCCGCGGAATGCGCGGAGCAGCTGGCGCGGGGCAGGGAGCGGCCGGGAATGTGCGCGACCCCCCGAGGGTGACGCCACCGGCCCGTCCCCGCGGTTTCGGGTCAGCTGCTGCGCTCCGAGCTTCCTCTTCCTCCTCCTCCTCCCGGCCTCGCCCTGCCTAGGCGGCCCGGCTGGAAAATGTCGTCCCCGGGCGCCATTTGGGAGCAGGTGGTGGCAGCTGCGGGGTGGTGGGACCCCCAGAAGCTGCCCGCAGGTGGCTGCACGCTGTTCCCAAACACGGATGTCACCCCACGGTTCCCTCCTCGGACCCTGGATGGCCCCAGCGAAGCTCAGCCACTCTTTGGGGTGGCGCTAGGGCACAATTGGGGTTTGGGGGTGCTGAGCTTGAGCCCCTGTGAGATCCCTTCACCCCCCCGAGGGCAGGGTCGCAGCTCCCGGGAGGGGCGGGATGGGAGCCTTGGAGCTGAGCACACTCAGGGAGACGTTCCCTGATATATGGGGGTGTCCCTTTCCACATCGGAGCCAGGGATGGAGGAGATTTGGAATAGTGGGGAACAGCAATAACCCTGAGCAACCCTAATTCCTGCCTCTGTGGGGTGTGTAGGGTGAAGGGCACCAAGTGGTGGAGGGTCTCAGCTCCTGGGGAGGGGGAGCAGGATGGGACCACCACAGCTGAGCACAGTGGGTGCACCCGGGCAGGATCTGGTCCCTCCACACCTCCCTGGGTGTCTCCAGCTGGAGTTTGGGGTGATGCTGGGTCAGCCTTGTGCGAGCCAGGGCACAACCAGGGTTTGGGGGGCTGAGCCTGTGCCTATCGTGTGCTCAGTCCCTCAGTGGGGAGGGGCAGGATGGGACCCCCAGAACTGAGCACTGTGGGGTGTGTAGGGTGAAGGGCACCAAGTGGTGCAGGGTCTGAGCTCCTGGGGAGGGGGAGCAGGATGGGACCAGCACAGCTGAGCACAGTGGGTGCACCCGGGCAGGGTCTGGCCCCATCCAGCCTCGGGGAGAGCCCCTCCCCAGCTCGGTGCCAGCCCGGTGGGTGCCGGGCTGGGACAGAGAGGGGACAGAAGAGGTGAGGCAGCGTGGTGTGCCCCCGCAGCGCGAGTGCATCTCCATCCACGTGGGCCAAGCGGGCGTGCAGATCGGCAATGCGTGCTGGGAGCTGTACTGCCTGGAGCACGGCATCCAGCCCGACGGGCAGATGCCCAGCGACAAGACCATCGGCGGGGGGGACGACTCCTTCAACACGTTCTTCAGCGAGACGGGCGCCGGCAAGCACGTGCCCCGGGCCGTGTTCGTGGACCTGGAGCCCACGGTGATCGGTGAGGGCGCGGGGGGCGGCCGGCGGGGCGGGCGCTGGCGGCGGGCGCCGGGCGCTAACGGGGCCCGGGGCTGTCCCCGCAGACGAGGTGCGCACCGGCACGTACCGGCAGCTCTTCCACCCCGAGCAGCTGATCACGGGCAAGGAGGATGCGGCCAACAACTACGCCCGCGGCCACTACACCATCGGCAAGGAGATCATCGACCTGGTCCTTGACCGCATCCGCAAGCTGGTGAGGGTCCTGGGGGGTCTCACCCTGCGGGGGATGTGGGGACAACGGGAAGCTCCAGGTGTCCCTGGGCAGGTCCTTCTCAGCCCATCAGTGCTTTGGGGCAGAGTGGGGATGTCCCAGGAGGGACCTCCCACCTTCCTGGTGGGACCTGCATGACCCCTGTTGTGCCTCCAGGATCTGGATGGATTTGTTGTGGGTCATGTGTCAGCCTGCAGCACATCCTGGCTCCCTATGGGGTCTGGATCCTCTAAGTGATCAGGATCAGCCCCCTCCCTTCCCCTTGACCTGAATGCCTTTACTCAGTGTTCTACAACCCCACCAGCACAGGATGTGCACCCTGAGCATGGCAGGTTCCAGAGGTGTGATAGGGCTTGTGGAACTGTGTCATTTCTGTCCCTGGGAAAACCTTATTTCATCCCTTTTTAAGGTCATGTGAGGTTTCTCCTTGATCTGGACGCTGATCCTGCTTGACCAACTGCTTATGAGCAGCTGTGCTGAGTATTTAACTCTTGCTGGGGCGGCTCTAGGGGATTGCCCCTTCCCTCAAGCAGATTGCCGGGGTCATAGGAGGAAGCAGCTTTAGGGAAGGGGCAGTTAGGGGTCCCTTCTCCTGAGGCCAGGTCATGCTGAATCATGGTGCAGTGGCTGGAAGTGGAGTGGACAGAGGTACCCCCAAAAGTCTGAGAGTTTTGGGGGATATATGTGTCTTTCTGGGCAAATCAGCAACTTCATTAACAGCTGAAGTTCAGAATTCTGACAGTTTGGTCTTGTTTTCCCCTTCCCGCTGGGTTCCTTCTGTCACTGTCGCATGTCCACGAAATGTCTGCTTCAAACACTTGAGCTTCCTTGTGCACTTCGTGGGGTTTGGCCCCGTGGGCTCGGCCAGGGATACGCTGCCCTCTCGGATGTGATCATGCAGATTTTCCATGTGTCTGTACCGTGTCTGTGAATAAAAGGCTTTAAGAGAATCTACACTGTGTCGGATACAAACCCTCTGTGTCAGTGCCCGCTCTCCCCCAGGCCGCCTGGCCCCATCCCATGGGAACAGACTGTCCCTATTGTCTGTGCCCAGTGAGGCAGCTGGCATGGCCCTGCTGTTACCCGAGCTGCCCATCCCTCCCCTGCAGATCTGGGGGGGTGAAGCCCCCACATCGCAGGCTTCCACAGGGTGGGGCCTCACCCTGGGTGCCGCTGTGCTCCTTCATGAGCTGTCTCCGATCCCCCCCCGGGTGGCCTTGCTCGCCGAGTGCCCCCAGCGCTCAGGAGCCCAGCCCAGCCCCCCGCTGCTCTCCGTGATTACCGCTCCCGGGATTATCCGCGTTCCGGGATTATCTCCCTCCCTGCTCCTAATCCCGGGGGGCGGCGCTGGGGCGGCGCGCCCGTGGGAGCGGCGGGCGGCCTCAGCCTATCAGCGCGCGGCGCGCCGCGCTCCCACCAATGACCTTCGCCTCATTCAAGCCTCGCAGCCAATAGGCGGCAGGGGGCGTGACCTACCGGCCTCTTTCACCCCCTGGGGAGCGGATACTTTGTAACGAGGAAAGGGGCGGGGCTAAGAGGGGGCGGGGCCAGCACGGCGGCGCTGGGCCGGGACCGGCGGGACCGGAGCGGCGATTCCCGGCGGGACCGGAGCGGCTGGGCCGGCGTGGCGGTACCGGCCTTGGCGTCCTGCCCCTGCCCTCGGCAGCCCTGCCCGGCCCTGCCATGCTGGCCGCAGAATGGCCCCTGTGGAGCAGGACGCGCTGGCCGTGCGGGAGCAGCTCTTCCACGAGAGGGTCCGCGAGTGCATCGTGAGTGCCCGGGCGGGGAAGGGGCTCGGTGTGGCGGGGAGAGCTGGGACGGCGGCTGGGAGCTCGCAGCCTTCCGTGGGACCATCGGGATCGCCGGTGGCAGCTCCACGGCCCGGCTGTGGCAGGGCTCCACACCCCGTGCTTATCGGGGCCGGGGCCGGGGCCGGCGGGGCTGCGCTTTCCTGGCAGATAGCGGGGAGCCAGCGCTGGCCCCTGCCCAGCCCCTGCCGCGACCCCTCTGCCGCTCCAGGAGTCCCGGCTGCGCTGCCGTCGTGCTGGGCCGTGCTGGTGTCAGGGCCGTGCCAGCCCCATGCCAGGCTCCCGGCTCTGTCCCTGTCCCCAGGCCGGCAGGGAGGGGACAGCAGGACCCTACAGAGCTCCCTAAATCTCGGGTACCGCACAGGGACACAGCTGGGTTTGCTCCTCTGCTCCTGCTACCACAGGCTCAGGGGTGGGGATGACATGGATGTCCCGGTCCTGGCATCCCCTGAGGGCCTTGGCACGGCAGCCCAGTGGGCTGTGACTGGCAGTGCCAAGGCTGCCTTGCCACAGCCACATTCGGTGCCTGCAGGGAGGAGCTGGTGGCCAAAGCCTGTCAGCTCTGCCCTGGAGCCCCCCAGACCTCCATTCTGGGGAGCTGCATCCCACAGGAGCCCCTGGCTTGGCACACAAAACTTACTTAACCCAATTTCACTGAGTGCAGGAGGAGTTGGGGGTAGAGCATTGTTCTGTGGGGTACAGCCCGTGGCAGGAGGGAGCAGTGGCCTGAGACCCTTCACTGGGTGGGAGCAGCAGCAGAGCAGAAGGACCTGCTGGGTGCTGCCCTTCTGGGCCAGCTCTGGGGGCTCCCTGCCACCCCACGGGCAGACCCTGGGCACCCCCGGGCGGGCAGAAGGGAGGTGCCACAGCTGCTCCCCGCTGCACCCGTGCCAAGGTGGAGGATTCAGGCGACCTTTCCTCACCCTGACGCGTTCCCGGCGGGATGAAAGGTCGCCGTGTTCCCTCCCCGGACATCGCCTGCGCTGTTCCAGCGGGGGCAGCAGGGACACCGCAGATGTCCTTGGCGCCTGATTCAAGGCTGTTCTCGTGGCTCTGCCGACAAGGCCAGGCCTGTGGGATCGGGCACTCCAGAGATGTCCCACGGGGTCACAGATTTGCCAGCACAGGCTGGTCCAGACCTTCTTGGGTGGGGTCTCAGCCCCCTTTCACCCAGCCTGGGTGCTGTGCCAGCTTGTGGGCACCCGTGTGTGAAGGCTGGGTGCAGTCCCCATTGAACAGATAGGTCTGAGCACACGGGTGGGGTGTAACCAGGACCAGGAGTGGAAAAACAAATAGGGTGGAGCTGACAAGCCCCAGGGCTGGCAGCATCACTGGGGTAGGAGAGCTGCCCTCAGGGCATGCCCACACTCCTCTGCCCACAGATCTGTGCCCTGCTCTTCGCCAGCCTCTACATCCTCTGCCACTTCATCATAACCCACTTTAAGAAGCACACGGATTTCACAGCAGGTAAGAGTGGGAGCTGCCAGAGCCAGGCAGCCTTTGAAGCCTCCTCATTCAGCCTCCCCAGGGTTCCTCCTGTTCCTCCATTGCTTTTGGCCTCCCCCAGCAGCCCCAGCCCCACCACAGCCTGATTGCCCTGACACCAACTGCTGCCCTAGGTGGGAGCAAAGCCAGAATTCCCTGGGAGGATTTCTGTCGGATTTGGAGTGGGGAGAACGTGGGCAGGGGGAGGCAGCGATGCTCTGGGCAGCCCTACCTCCCCCAGTCCTTTGCTTTGGGATTTTGTCCCCGCAGTTCACGATGACGAGGATGCTGCTGTCAACAGGATTGCGTAAGTTCCTGCCCGTCCCCTTCCCTGGTGCTCGGCCTCTTCCTCAGCCAGGACAGAGTGTCCCGTGGGTGCTGGTGATGCTGGGGGGCAGAGCTGGGCTGTGACATGCAGAGGAACCTTGACCCTGCTTGTCCCTGTGGCAGGCTGGGGCTCTGTACCTTCACCCTGGCTGTGGCACTGGGTGCTGTCCTCCTCCTGCCCTTCTCCATCATCAGCAACGAGGTGCTGCTCTCCTTCCCCCAGAACTACTACATCCAGTGGCTCAACGGGTCCCTCATTCATGGTGGGTGCACGGGGTGACCCTGGGGTGCCCCCAAAATCCGTGGGTCAGGGTTGCCCTGCCTGGAGCTCACCCCATGCTGTTCCCCCTTTTCCAGGCCTCTGGAATTTGGTTTTCCTCTTCTCCAATATGTCCCTGGTCTTCCTCATGCCCTTTGCCTACTTCTTCACCGAGTCAGAGGGGTTTGCAGGATCCAAGAAGGTGGGTGGTCCTTCACTTGTCCCCCCTGTGCCCCCTCTCTGTGAGTCCCTGCTGACCCAGCTCCTGCAGGGCATCATGGCCAGGGTGTACGAGACCTCGGTGGTGCTGCTGCTGCTGACGCTGCTGGTGCTGGGCATGGTCTGGGTGGCCTCTGCCATCGTGGGCAACGACGCTGCCAGTCGCCAGTCACTCTACGGTGGGTGAGCCGGGCTCTGCCTGCTCCAGGACCAGACCCTGGCACTGAGTGGAACAAGGGATCTCTGGTGCCATGGCCTGATCCTGCTGTCTCTGCAGATCTCTGGGAATATTATCTGCCCTACCTCTACTCCTGCATCTCGCTTTTCGGTGTCCTGCTGCTGCTGTGTAAGTTGTGCCCCCGCAGTTGATGCCCTGCTGGTGCTCCATCCAAATGGGGTCTGGAGGGGCCATGGCTCATGGCTGAAGTCTCCAGGATCCTTCTGAGGGTGTGGGGAGGGGTAGGATGGCGGGGCACCCCCTGTTCAGCCTCTCCTCCCACCACAGTGTGCACCCCCTTTGGCCTCTCCACCATGTTCACTGTCACTGGGAAGCTGCTGGTGAAACCCCGGGTAAGGCCTCACCCCACAATCCCTCTGCCCCAGCTTTGGGGGTGACTGCCCCCAGGGCTGCCTGGTCACCCACCGCGGGCACGGGGAGATATTCACACCCCCCAGCAGCCACTCACATGCTCCTCATCCTCCCCCAGCTCCTGGAAGACCTGGATGAGCAGCTGAGCTGCACGAGGTTTGAGGAAGCCGCTGTGTCCCACAGGATCCGCTCTGGTGGGTGCTGCTGCTTGGCAAAGGGGAGCACGGGGTGGATTGGGGGGCCCTCTACCCCACCCATAGGAGCCTTCATCCCCCACTGAGCCTCTTGGGTCTCTCCCCAGCAGGCAAAGCTTCCTGCTGGCTGAATCTGGACATGGAGATGCTGCGGGAGCAATTCTTTGCCATCCGGAGCAAGAGGCGGAAGCTGGGTGAGGAGCCTGGCAGGGGGAGGGGACTCTGGGTGCCCTCCAGCCTGGCACTGGGAGCACTGGTCCCTGGCAGTCCGTGCTCTGTTGAGGGAGGGTGGCTGGGAGATGGGCTGGGGGCTGTTTGGCACTTTGGGGCCCCCTCAATCTCCTGCCCTGGGGTGGGAGCTGTGCTCCCCTCTCACCTGGGCACATCCTCCCCACAGAGCTGCGGCACCGAGCATCACCCTGGCAGAGGAACCTGGGCTACCCCCTGGCCATGCTGGGCCTCCTGGCACTGACAGTGAGTGACCCTGGGCTGCCAGGGGAGCTGGGGGTTGTCCCCGTCCTCACCAGTGCCCTCACGCCCTCCCTGCTCCTCCCAGGGCATCTCTGTGCTCATTGTCTGCTTCCACGTCCTGGAGCTGCTGCTGGACGATGCCGCGATGCCACGGGGCATCCAGGTACCCGGCTGGGGGCATGGGACAGCTCAGGATCGTGTCGCTGGCTGCTCTGGGGACATTCCTCCCCAACCTGCTCCCTCCTCTTCCTGCAGGACGCATCCCTGGGCCAGGTTTCCTTCTCCATCTTTGGCTCCTTTGGAGCTGCACTGCAGGTTGTCCTCATTTTGTATCCTTCAGGCGGGCACTTGTGTCCCCAGCGACGTCCCCTGTGTCCCCAACACTGTTCCCAGCGCCAGCCCATGCTGTTTTCCTCCTTAACACTCCTTGCAGCTACCTAATGCTCTCCTCTGTCGTGGGCTTCTACAGCTCCCCCCTGTTCACTCGGCTGCTGCCGGAGCGGCAGGACACCCCCCTCACCAAGGTGGGAGCAGCAGGACGGGGCTGGGGGCTCCTGTGGGGGTGCAAGACCCTCCTCCCCACAGCGTGTGTCCCTGTGCAGCCCCCACGTGGGAGGACAGTGCCAGGCAGGACCCCCCAGCGGTTCCCTGGCGGTCTGGGGGTTCCCTGCAGCAGCACTGCCCCCCAAACCTCCTCCTCCTCCTCGTCCCCAGATCATCGGGAACTGCGTCTCCTTGCTGGTGCTCAGCTCAGCACTGCCTGTCTTCTCCAGGACACTGGGTGAGCCTCCCAGAGGGATCAGGGTGATGCCTGCATGGGGGTGGCCCCAGAACTGGGGTGCCCTGACCAGTGTACCCCACCCTGTGCAGGGATCACCCGTTTTGACCTCCTGGGGGATTTTGGCCGCTTCAACTGGTTGGGGAACTTCTACATCGTCTTCCTCTACAACATGGGCTTTGCTGGGCTCACCACGCTGTGCCTGGTCAAAAGGGTGTCCTGGGCAGTGCAGGCCGAGCTGATCCGTGCCTTTGGTGAGGACAGGGACACGGGGACACGGCGGTGGCTGCCGGGGTGTCCCGTGTCCCCCCAGCCTGGCTCTCACACTCTCCCTGTACCCAGGTCTGCACAAGCTGCCACTGCCCGTGACGCGCTGCCGGACCCGCAGCAAGCCCTGCTAGGGCTGGGGGGACAGGGACGTGTCCCCCTCCTCACTGTGGTGGCCACCGGGGTGGCTGCCAGCCACAGAGCTGGCCCTGATAGCTCCCGGTGCCTCAGAGCCCCTCAGGGAAAGCTGAGACACCTTTGGGGGTTGCCCCCCCTGCTCTGTCTCAGCTGTTGTGCTACTGAGCCTTGGCCTTGAGCCACATCCCCAAGGGGAGCGGGGTCCCCCCGAGGCTGTGCTGGCTGCAGCCCCCCACCCCTATTTTACATACCTCGTGCAACAATGGCCAGGACCCACCCCTGACCTCCCCTGGCTGCTCCCCGGGGTCTGGCTGAATTTTAAATGCTGTCCTGATGCTGTGGGAGGGGGTCCTGTGCCCAGAGCCACTCCACACTCCACCCCTCTGTCACTCTGGGGCTGCAGGGGGACACTGGTTGTCCCCTGCCCACCCCAAGGTCTTTGGGGTCCCTTATAGGGAGGCCTCAGGTGCAGGGGACAGCCCCCCTTCTCCTGTGATGAGTATGTCAGGTCTCTGTTACAACAGAACTTGCTTGGAGAAATAAACACTGACTGTTTTTTATATAAAAATACTCGAAAATCTGGGGGTTTTATTCCTCCCGAGGGCAGGACCGAGGAGGAAGGGGGCAGGGGCGGGGTGTCCCTGCCTTGGGGGGTCACAGTCCTGCCCCTCCTTATGGCCCCTATGGGGCCATTAATTAACGCTCTTCCTGGTTGGGGTTAACGAGCTTCTTCCAGGCAGGGCCAGGGGCGAGGGCTGAGCTGAGGGACCCCGGGGGTGTTGGGGGGCTCCGGGTGCCTTCGGGGTGAGGGGCAAAGCAGAGCCTTCACCTCCTGGCACGGAGGGAGCGGAAACTGCCCCGGGAACCGGCCCCCCACCCATCCTGCCCCGGCTGGGGCCGAGCCAGGCCGCCCCCCGCCCCTCCATGGCGGGGGTGGGGGGCCCAGGCCCCCCCTCGCCCCCTCCCGCGGCTGGGGCCGAGCAGGAAGCGCAGGAAACCTGCTTTATATTGCAGGAAATGAGGCCATCGGTGCCCGCGATTTCCCCGCGACCTGCTCCCCTCCCAGTCACCCCGGGCTGGCACCGGGGCTGCGGGGGAGCTGGGGGGGGGCCGGGACCCCCCCTCCAACCTTCCAGCACCCCGCTGGTGCCTCCCGCCCTCGCCGGGGCCCGCAGTGCCCTGGGGGGCTTTGCCGGGAGCGCGGGGGTCCCGGTCCCGGTCTCGGGGGTGCCCCGCTCCTGGAGGCACGGTGGGAGCCCGGTGCCAGTCCCGCAGCCCGGTGCCAGTCCCAGACCAGCCCAGCCCCGTCCTCGGCGGTGCCTGGACCCCGGTGCCACATCCCCCGGTGCCGCTCCGGGGGTGTCCTGGTCCCGGGGAGCGGAGGGGCCGGCCGGGGCAGGGCAGCCCGGCGGGGGCGGCCCCGGGGGATGTGGCCGCCGCTGNNNGGCTCGCGGCTCCGAGGCGGGGCCCGACGGGGCTGCCCAGCGCCGGAGCCGAGCGGCCGCGGTGGGGGCAGCCCGGCCGGGGCGGCTGAGGGCGGCGCACGGTGCCGAGCAGCACCCGAGGCAGCCGGTACCGGGGGCTGGGCCACGAACGGGGACCGGGACCGTGGGTCGGACGGAGCAGAGGGGACCGGGGTAGCGCCAGGGAGCGGGGCACGGGAGCGGGGCTGTGCCAAGGGGACGGAGCAGGTGCGGACACCGGCGGCGCAGCCTTAGAATAACGAGGGTCCCCGGTGCGAGGAGAAGAAGGACCGGGACTGGGAGAGAAGCGTCCCCGGTCCCAACAGGCGGTGACTGGAGAGGTCCCGGGACCAGAACCGCGGCGTTTGGATAAGGGGGGGTTCCGGTACCGGAGAGCGTGGAGAGGAGGCGGCACCAGAGCGCGGGGCTTAGACGGGAAGGGGGAGCAAGACTGAGATCCCGGTGCCGGTCCCGGGGCAGCCTTAGGAACCGGGTGCCAGCGCCAGGGCAGTGCCCGGAGCTGGGTGCCGGTGCCCGGTGCTGGGACGCCGTTCTGCCAGGGCTTTCCCTAAGGCTGGGGCTGTGTCGGGGACTTCCCGGGACCGGGGTGCAGGCGAGGGGGTGCTGATACCGTGGGCGCGCAACCGGCGGCGCTCCGAGTGGGTGGCGGCACCGGCGGGGGGGGTACGGGGCGGGGGGGTGGTCAGCCGTCCCGAGCGGCCACGGATCCCGCAGCAGCGACGGGACCGTGGGTGTGAGAAGGAAACGGAGCCGACCCGCCCCTGGCACCGCGACCATCTAAAAGCCCCGGGGCCGCCACACCGGGACCATGCCCGCCCCAGCCGCCCGTGCCCCCGGCGACTGAGCGGGACCCGCGGAGGCAGCGGGGCCCGGCGGGCGGGATGCCCCGGTGGAGGCCGCTCGCCCTCGTCCTGCTCGGGCTCGCCGCCTCCCTGCTGGCCGCGCCGGTGCTGGGCTGCGGCCCGGGTCGGGGCCCGGTGGGGCGGCGGCGGCTGGGGCGGCGGCAGCTTTCGCCCCTGCTCTACAAGCAGTTCGTGCCCAACGTGCCCGAGCAGACGCTGGGGGCGAGCGGCAAGGCGGAGGGCAAAGTGCTGCGGGGCTCGGAGCGCTTCAGGGAGCTGGTGCCCAACTACAACCCCGACATCATCTTCAAGGACGAGGAGAACACGGGGGCGGACCGGCTCATGACCGAGGTGGGGGCTGCGCCCGGCCCGGCCCGGTCCGGCCTCGCTCCCGGGGGCGCGGGGGCGGCGGGGGGGATGGGCGGGATCAGAGCGACCCTCGACAGGGCTCATGGACCTTTCTCAGTCGGCACCGACGCGCTCAGGTCTCACGGAGCTCTCCCGGTCGCCACCGATCGTCCCGGGGCTCACGGGTGCTCCCGAGTGGCACCGACCCTCCCCGGGAGCACGGAGCCTCCGGGGCCGCACGGTACCTCGCCCCGGTGCCCCGCTCCGTTCTGTTGTTGATTCGGGACCGTCGGGGATTAACGGGACGGGACGGCACCGGCGGCACGAGGTACCGGCGGCTCCGCTCCCCCAGCGCCGCCGCGCCCCGGCCCCAAGGACAGCGCGGAGGGGGAGGCCCCGGTACCCCCTGCTCGGGGCGGATCACGGGGCGGCGAGAGCCCGGGACGCGCCGCGCGCCCGCCGGGATGCTCACGGTTGCCATGGCGAGGGGCGGCCCCGCGGTCGCCATGGCGACGGGGGATGCTGCGAGTGGTCCAGGCGGCGCCGGCAGCTCCCGCGAGCCGGGACGGCGGAGGCGGCGGGGCCGGGGCGGCGGAGCCCGGCGGAGCCGCGGGCGCGGAGCCGGCCCGGGGGGCGGGGGGCTGAAAGGGCCCTTTGTGGCCGCGGCGGCATTCCCGGGCACGGCCGCCCCGGGCCCGCGCCCCGCACTGCCGCCCCCGCGGCCCCGCGCTCCCGGGAGCCGCTTTGTTAACGGGGGAGGGAGGGGGGCACTGGGGCATCGAGGGACGCTGTGACCTCAGCGGCTGCGGGGGGGGGACGGGGACGGGGAGAGCTCCCACCCCTGCACCCCACTGCTGATGGGGAGAGGGACCCCAGAACCGCCTGGGACCCCCGGCTCTCCCTGCCAGCCCAGACTCGGGGCTGGTTCAGGGTCAGCTGCCCCCAGCTCGGCTTCACAGCCCCCCCAGCAGGTTAATGAGTCACGGCCGTGGCCGCGGGGAAGGTGACACCGTCCCGGTGCCCTTCCCGGTCCCTTGCCTGTTCTGCCCGGCTGCCCGTGCTCCACCACGGGACCCCGGGGCAGGTTAACGTTCAACCCGAATCCAGCCGGGGGGGGCAGCTTGGCCCTGACTCCCTCTGCACCCTGGGGGGGCACCCCACCTGCCCCCACAGCACCCCCTTTGGGTCCCTCCAAGCCCTGGTGTCTGTCTGTCCCTGCGTGTCGTGGGGAGGGTGACGCCGGTGTCCCCACAGCGCTGCAAGGAGCGTGTGAACTCGCTGGCCATCGCGGTGATGAACATGTGGCCGGGGGTGAAGCTGAGGGTGACAGAGGGCTGGGATGAGGACGGCCACCACCTCCCCGACTCTCTGCACTACGAGGGCCGGGCGCTGGACATCACCACGTCCGACCGGGACCGCCACAAGTACGGCATGCTGGCACGCCTGGCCGTGGAGGCCGGCTTCGACTGGGTCTACTACGAGTCCAAGGCGCACATCCACGTCTCTGTCAAAGCAGGTACCACGCAGAAGGGGCTGCCAGCAGGGCAGGGGGCTGCCATCCCCATAGACCTCCCTGCTGACCCCCTTGATGTCCTGGATCCGTGTGGGATTATTGCTCTGGGTGGTGTCTGGCCCCAGCCCGGCTCCCCCTGGTCTACCTGGCACCCCTGATTGGCAAAAACTTCACTTTCCCCTCCAAATTTTGGCCAGATGGAGACAACCTTGTGGCTCAGCTCCTGGTGAGGAGAATAGCAATGCAGCCCCCAGCCCCAGAGCCCCAAAGTTGCCCCAGCCAGCAGCTGCCATCCAGTCCAGAAGTGCCAATTGACAGAAAGTGAAAATGGCCATAAATGTCACCGTTGGAGCCCGGAACAAAGGGCGTCAGTGCAGGGTGGACAAAGGGGCCCTGCAGCATTCAGGAGCCGCACGCAGGAACCGGGGCAGCTTTGCAAAATACCCGCTTTGTTCCGGGGGTGCTCTGGGGGGTCCGGGCCTTGCCGTTTCCCCTCTGGAGGTGGAGGTGGCCCGGTGGGGGACACCAACAACTCTCTCCATCCCTCCCAGATAACTCGCTGGCCGTCCGCACCGGCGGCTGCTTCCCCGGCCACGCCACCGTGACGCTGCAGAGCGGCGAGCACCGGGGCCTGGCCGAGCTGCGCCAGGGCGACCGCGTGCTGGGCGCCGAGCCGGGCGGGCGCCTGGTGCCCACCGAGGTGCTGCTCTTCCTGCACCGAGACCTCGGCCAACGCGCCTCCTTCGTGGCCATCGAGACGGCCAGCCCAGCCCGCCGGCTGCTGCTCACCCCGTCCCACCTGGTGTTCGCCGCCCGCGGCGTGGGCAACGGCTCCGCCGCCTTCCTGCCCGTCTTCGCCCGCCGCGTGCGCCCGGGCGACGCCGTGCTGGCCCGCGGGGCCGGCGGGCAGGGGCTGCGCCCCACGCGGGTGCTGAGGGTCTCTCGGGAGGACGGCGTGGGGGTCTTCGCCCCGCTGACCTCGCACGGCACCTTGCTGGTTAACGGGGTGCTGGCGTCCTGCTACGCCGTGCTGGAGAGCCACCGCTGGGCGCACCGGGCGTTCGCGCCACTCCGCCTCTTCCACGGGCTCCTCTCGCTGCTGCCAGCCCGCCCCGAGGTGGGCAACGGGACCGTGCCGGAGGTGGGCATGCACTGGTACTCCCGCCTGCTCTACCGGCTGGCCGGGGGCGTGCTGGGCCACGAGGCCCTGCAGGTTTAGGGGTGAGCACCCCCCCGTTTCTGGTGGGTGCTCCAGCCCCGGGCACCCCTCGGAGCTGGGGAGGAGGGACAGGGGCACCCCCGGTGCTGTGGGGAGGTTGGGGCTCAGCACTGCCCCGGGGCACGGGGTGGCACAGGGGTCTGGCTCTGTCCTAAAGCGCCCCAGACCCCCCTGGTATTTATTGCTTTATTAACCACTGCGCTGGGGCTGGGGTTGGTGCCTGGCAAACCCCAGCCAGGCAGCACCAGACCCTGCCCTGGGGCCAAATCCAGCTGGGGGGGATGGCAAAAATCCCCCCAAAACGGAGCACCTGGCAGCAGTTCCTGCCTGTCCCCTGCTCTGGGTCTGTCCCTGTCACCCACAGTGTCCCTGCACCCCTGGGTGGCTGGGTGGGTGTCTGCAGCGGGCACGGGGTGTCTGCCACGGGCACCCCGTGCCAGGTCCAGCTCTAACCACGCTAACTGCTAACCCGCCCTGCTTGAGAGTTTTATTTTTCTATTTATAAATGGTAATATAAATGTCCCCCATGCCTGCCTGCCCCGGCAGCGGGGCTCACCCCATGGGGCAGGGGGCAGCCTGCTTTTAACCACTTCAGTTTAAAAAACAAAAAAAAACAACAAAAGAAATACTACTATTTAATTGTTTGGGAAAATAAAGAAAGTCTATGGCCCTAATGGAGCTGTGGTGTCTGGAGGGGCTGGAACTGACCATCCCAGGGGGCTGGGGGTCCTTGGGGCTGGAATATCCCAGAGTCTGGGGGTCACTGGGGTGGGGGTCAGGCATCCTGAGTAGCAGCTGGGGTGTCTTGGAACTGGGCAGGGCATTGCAGGGGCTGGGGGATCCCTGGGGGTTTGGCATCCTGGGGGTGTCCCTGGTGCTGGAGTAGGGAGCCCAGTTCTCCCTGGCCTTTCTGGCGCCTAGATGGGCAAAAAACTCATTTTCCCCTCCAAATTTTGGCCAGATGGAGACAACCCCGTGCCTCAGCTTCTGGTGAGGGGAACTGCAACGCAGCCCCCAGGGGTTGGGGTGTCCCCAGGGGGGTGTGGGTCCCTGGGGGTCCCTGAGGCTTGAGTCGGGCATCACCAGAGGCTGGGGATCCCTGGGGCAGGGGTCAAACACCCCGAAATACCCGCGGGGGGCTGAGGCTCCTGGTGCTGGGGGAGGCAGCGATGGGGAGCAGGAGCGGTTTGGTGGCTGTGGGTGTTCCTGGGTGTCTCCGGGGCCGGGACAGGTGGTGGGGGGGGTGGT